CGCCAACCCGTCCCCCCCCCCCCAAATACTCTCCTTCCCCCTCCTTACACAGAAAACGAGACTATATGATGTTTCTTCTTTCCTCACATAGTTTGTAGCTCAAGCAGGTTTCGCAAATGCAGTTCATTGAGTGGATTACTTAAGGCCCTGCGCTTTGGTATACTGGAGGGATGTCGTCACTGCTTTTGTTTGGACTGCATTCGAGAGTGGAGACGTAATCAAAGCTTTGAGACGGATGTTGTACGGTAAGGCGTTGTTACAATTTCTTTTCCACCTTATCTGCATCCGTCTGATTCTCCTACAGATCGTGTCCTGAATGTCGCCAACATAGCAATTTTGTTATACCATCTACGTTATGGGTTGAAGATGACGAAGAGAAGCAAATATTGTGCGAAGTGTACCGTAACAATATGGCTCAGAAGCAGTGCAAATACTACAAGGTTAGTCATGCTGTGAGATCTGTGCGGTTCGGACGTATTTGTGTCGATCGTATCGGTGTCACGAAGAGCCGCTTCGCTGAGGCCTGTTGGTTATCGCCTTGGGAAGAAGGAAGCACAGTGGTATCCTGTCTCCACCCCTCCAGTTATCGTGGAATATGGCTTTAACATAGTTTTCCTGTGCGGCTAGAAGCTCTAAGAACGACTTTGGACTTGTTGCAAAATACTATGTGAAGGTGATAAAGATGTAAGGGTCTTTAAGGCAAATAGGAAACTCTTTGGTGTGTTATTTTGTCTTAGCACTAGCTACCTGCTACTCCTTGTGCCCACAGTGATTAACGGTTTCAATGTCAGATTCCATCCGGTTTACTGGTACTATTTTCATGATTCGAGTCATAACAATAAAAATGAAGAATCGGTGCCATATTACGGCCGTTCTTTCGTTTTCGTCGTTTTGCGAGTAGCTATGCACCTTGATTGTTAATTCCGCCATAGAGTTTGAAAAATCATTTTGTTTGAGAATTTTCTTTTTTGTGAAGCTGAAATAAGACCCTATATCCCGAAGATGAAGAGGACGTGGCTGCATTATGCATTTGTCTTTGTTTAGCAAATAATAGGATGACAGTTGTCTCAAATGAAAACACCGTATGAAAAGCGCAACCTACGCCATGTCCGAATGAACTAGTTGGCTCCACCATTACCTTCCCTGGAAAAATGGTGGAGTATTGTTTGTTTTACTGCATTTTCAAAATTTTCATCTTTAAGGAAGGTTTGTCTGCAGAAGGCTGTCCCTTTTGGAAACAAGTGCTTCTACAAGCATCAACTCCCCGACGGGTCCATAGACCCAGGAGAAGAACCGCATGCAAGGAGAAAACCTTATCTCGCGGATTTTATTTTCAACAGGTACTTTGCTCAATTTCTGCGTGCTTACCAATAGGCCGGGGTTGGGCTATCCTCCAGTTC